GACAGCACCCAGGCCCCGAGTTCAGGTCCCACGACCGGACCCCCCCCAAAAAAAAAGAAATGAAGAAACAGGTGTGACATGAAAATGTAACATGAGGGGGGAAGTAAAAATAGCAAATAAATAATAAAGTGTGTAAGTATTTTCTATGGGAAAATGCTATGTTAGACCTTAGAATGGTTTATACAATTACAAGCCTGAATGAGGTGGTCATTCACTGTTACTATTATTTAAATTTATGACTACTATTTTTATATGCTACACAAAACCAAGCTGAGTGGTTTGTAAGCATGTTTGTTCACAGATGAAGGCTGAAAAGCAGCGTATGCATTTGCCTATTACAGTGTTATGCTACGAAGCACCACTTTCTTCACATCACAGTCTTAAGTACTAACACTCATCTGGAAAAATAAGGTGCCAGCCACAGTGTGAACCTTGTTAGATGAATAATTCACCCAGTCCTCACAGCAATCAGAGGCTGGTTCTATCTTAAGCAGCAATCGGAGGCTGGTTCTATCTTAAGCACGGTTACAGAAGGGACACGGGGGATTCAGAGGCTGAGTCACATGTTCCTGTCATATGACCTGTGACATGGTGACCTGTCACATGACCCAGTGCACATGGCTTCTGTGGTCATCTACCTAGAGAAAGCTGGAGGGTTGGATAACATTTAAGCTAATACGTACTATAAATTCAGTCAATGAGGTTGCAGCTGCTGCTCTCAGCAAGGCTTAAATTTGACAAATTGAAAATGTTTAAACCCAAACTCTTGAGGCTGAAATAAAAGGGTTGATTGAACTGTGAACAAATGCTAGCCAGAGAAAGGGCCTGGTCTTGGAGCAAGTTTCCATTACTTCCAAAAGCAAAGCCAGGTAGTGGCTAAGATTAAGTCTGTATTTTTATAAAGAAAATTTAGAGAATGGAGACATAAGTTATTTACTGTGGGTCTGCAATGTTTGTAGATAAGAGGGTGGGAATATGTAAAGAGAGGGAAGCTTTGGGGTAGGAGGCTGTCCAATAAGAAGGACTGGTTTCTTTTTTGTGCTTCTGGATTGGTTGGGTTGTAATTCTTGCTTCTGGATTGGCTGGGCTGTAATTCTTGCTTCTAGATTGGTTGGGTTGTAGTTCTTGCTTCTGGATTGATTGGGCAATCATTCTTACTTCTAGATTGGTTAAACTGTAATTCTTGCTTCTGGATTGAATGGGCTGTAAGATGTGGTGGCATCTAGGGGGTTGTGATGGGATTAAGGTTTTATTCCTGTCACCCTCTCATGGCTGTGAGGACCTTGCAGAGTCCTCAGTCACCAGCAAACGCCTTTTTGACCCTTGATGTATGGTTCTTCTCTGCCTTCTCTTTGGTCCCCATGTGACCTTCCAAACCCTGAAGCAACCTGCAAGAAACCACTGAAAGACCATGTTCAGAGGCAGGCTGCTCTTCAGAGGTGACCCCTCGCTCTTTTCCTTGCTGATAATAACGGTTTCCATCTTTGCAGCTCTACCTGGCTTGTGGAGAATGTTCACACCTACCAGCTAATTTGAATTTTTAACCACTCTCAAAAAGAAATGAGCCAGGCACTGGTGGTAATCACAACGGTAATATTCACTACTCAGGAAGCTGACATCTGAGGATTGTGATTCAAAGGCAAGAAAGTTTGTGAGGCTTTTATCTCCAAGCAACCACCAAAAAGCTGGAGGTAAAGCTGTGGCTCAAGTGATAGAATGCTAGCTTTGAGGAAAATTTACTCAAGGGACTATGTCCAGGCCTGGGTTCAAGTTTCAGGACCAGTATGCATGTGCACATGTGCACACACACACACACACACACACACAGAATTAAATGAGGAACTGAGTCTGAGAGCTTAGGTTACTTCCCAAAGTGAAAAAATTTCAAGGAAGACAGAGCCAGACAGGATCTCCTCCTCCCCTCTTCCTCTTCCTCTCCCTCTCCTTCTTCTTCCCTTTCTCTTCTCCCTTTTTATTTATCATTGTATTTATCTACTTGTGATAGGAAGCACATAACATACCATTTATTGAAGTGTATACTTCTGTAGTGTTAAATATTCTCACACGGTAGCGAAGTAGATCTCCAAAAGTTTTCGTCATCCAAATTTGACCCTCAACGTATTTAGCAACTTCTCCTTCCCCTAAATCTGGTCAACCCACCATTCTACTTCCTGTTCCTATGAATCCCAGTACTTCACATATTCTGTATGAATGGAGTCCACATTGCATTTGGATGCCTGGCTTGCTTCTTTCAGCATGGTGCCTTCAAGGTTCATCCTTATTGTAGTATGTGACAACATTTTCTCCTTTTTAAGGTCAAATGTTGTTCCACTGTGCGTGTGTACTATAGGTTGTTTATGCAAATTCTCAGCTGTTGTGAAGAGTTCCACACGATCATAGATGTGCACCTGCCTTTTTGAGACCCTGCTCCAATTCTTTTCTTGAGATGGGAACTCACCATATAGCCCAGACTGGTCTCAAACTTAGGATCCTCCTGCCTCATAATCCAGAGGGCTGGGATTAGAGGCATAAACTACCACATCCGGCTACAATTCTTTTGGCTTTATTTACACCCCAAAGTGGGATTTCTGGATTATATCAGAGTGTTTTTTGTGTGCTGGAGGGGTCATACTGTTTTAATAGGGGTCACACAACATTTTTCCATCTCAAACAACAGGATTCCATTTGCTCCACATTGTAGCCCACAAGTGTCTCGAGGGTCAATTGGTCCCTTGCTTTTCCTCTGTGGTTAGATCAAGGTCATTTGGAGCAGTGCCTATTGGAGCAAAATAGTTCTTTGGAGCTAGTGCTGAATTCACTATTTAGTCTAAGCAGTGGGTGTAGGAGCGCTGATCTATCATACCCTTTATTGGGATGAGAGTATGGTAAGGGGAAAAAGACAAAAACAAGTTCCCACGAAAAGAGTGTTTCTGTTATATATAAATATAAATATATAAATATAAAAATATAAATGTATATATATATATATATATTTTGGGTCCAGTCGTGGGGCCTGAACTCTGGTTCTGGGCGCTGTCCCTCAGCTCTTCAGCTCAAGGCTAGTGCTCTACCACTTGAGCTACAGCGCCACTTCTGGCTTTTTTCTTTTTGCTTATGTGGTGCTAATGAATCAAACCCAGGGACTCAGGCATGCAAGGCAAGCGCTCTACCACTGAGCCACCTTCCCAGCCCCATCTGTTGTATATTTTTAAAAAGAGAAAGGAGAAAAAAACTTCTCAGGAGATAACTTTAATGTTGGTGCTTTGAAATTCCCAGAAGAACTATATGGCTCAAATGGTAGAGAGCTAGCATTGAGTATGAAAGCTCAGTACCCAGGCCCTGAGTTCAAGCCCCAGGACTGGCACACAAAAAAAGAAAGATAAAGAAAAAAAGAAAGAAAAATAAACAAAAAGAACTGTGGACAGTATCTCTTTGCTGTGCTGTTTCAGGGTTGGAGAGAATTTGGGTCACACAGTCAGTACAGAGTAAGGCGAATTGTAGGTATTTAGTTGACAACATAGAACACCATGGAAGAACTCCATCATTTTATCCTTCTGTGACAAAATATTAACAATTGGCAAAGGCTGGTTCTAGAAGTAAGTGTGGGTGAAATGTTCAGGAGACTCACTTC